CTATTATCACATTAATGGGGTGACTTTTTCTTCAGATTCCACAATGCTCGCTATCATGATCGGTCCAGTTATATTTGTCTGGAAATTCACTGAGGCTAGTGGATGGAGAAGATATACTGAAATAAACATCTTCACAGAGGTTGAGCATGTCGCTCAAGAGGACCTACACCCCGATAGCTTCGTATCCGATGACTCGTTTGTAATCTCAGCCGAAAAGTTTGATTATCGTTGGCTTCTACACCATCACCACAACGTCCAAACCATATACCCCTTCCCCAATGAGGAAATCACAGTGGCGGAAGACAAGGAAAGTCTACTTCAGTGCCGAAGTGCTTTTAAATGGAATAAAGTATCCAAGCCTCAGGAGGGATGGAAACCACCCATTTCACACTTCCAGTTGTACATCAGCTTGGATAATGAGTATATTCTTACCCCATCAGGAATTTATACCATCAGCAACGGAGAACAGATGGCAAGCTACCGAGACGTTCTCACTTTCAACGTCGAGCTGGAGACAAAGGATTTCAAGTTTTGGGAACATGAAAAAGAGCACTATAAACGTGGTGGAGTACTGAAGACCTTGCATCCTGGCGTACCAGTGCATCTTCCTTCCAGCGAGAATGAAAATGCTGGATGGATAGTAGATAGTGATGGCAAGAGAGCCTTTTGGTTACCTAACAACCTTTTCCGCTCTGGTTGGCCTTTAGCAGAGGGGTATTCATGTGCATCTGCAGAAGACCGCTTCGCATTCATAACTCAGGATTCCGATCCCAAACCAGTCTTTGTCCACGTTCCAGGTGTTAGTGCAAGTAGTACGAGTACATAACACCCACAGGTTAGCGAGAATCACATCACTCCTTTCATTTATCCCTTCGAGTAGAGAAGACCTTCATAACCAAGCTGTTTAAGAAGGTTTAGTAGGTATTGCGTTTTAGACCAGTAGCTTGTTAAAAATCCTTACGTGGTCAATAAGATCACCTTGACAGACTGTAGGTTCTACAGGATTTTCGTAGTCCAATGTCCGTCCTGCCAGTGGAGCAATCGGGATTAGGTCTGTACATTGGTCGAAGTAACGGTGCATTGTATGAAATACTAACAAATATTACTATCAAACATCTGAATACCTTCACGTTCAAAGTGTACCTGGCAGATAATATTTACTTTACGAAAACAGCTGCCCCTAGTCAATATGCGTCGTGTTGAATAAGCGGTTCCCAGTATCAGTTGTGCCTTTTCCCGTGAATTTGTTGTCGGACAAACGAAGAGCAACGACACCAAAATTAACATCCTTGTCCAGTATCTGTGCGATCATGCCTTCGGGTTTGGCGAGTGACTTTGCCTGCACGACACCGGCAACAACGACAATGCGGATGGTCGGGTGAAGATTACGAATGTGTTGCACAAATTCAACAACCGTCTTCCCGTTGTTGACCACCGAGTCGACCAGAATCACCGTCTTTTGTCCTTCGATGTGGTGCTTCTTAAGATCGGCGGGCAGCCTGGCGTGAATACTTCAATGTTTGGAGTGAGTAAAGGCGATACAAGAACTGTTACTATGGTAGACTTACAACATTGCAGAAGATAGAGCCTCGTTGACCCCCAAAGCCATGGGTTCACCACCGCGCATGAGTGCCACAATTGACGTATTATTCACGTAGCGAATGCGATGACCAGTCGTCTGGTGACCTTGGACATGTGTAATCGCGTATTCCTCCAATCCAAGGAGCTCTGACAGAAATTCCGTCGCTAGATACCATCCAACTGAGTGGTGTGCTTGGCGCAACGCTGGCCCGTTAACCTCGGAATCTCTCATTGGAGACATGAGCAGCTTGGCTGCATTTCGATCGGTTGCGTGAAAGACCTGGTCCCCACCAATGGCATTGACAAAAGCATCCTCCACAATGTCAACCACAGGAAGTCTGACAGCATCGAGACGCGGGGTCATCGCAGTACTAGGAAGTAACACCTGACGTGCTCGAAGACCTTCATTGTCAATCGCATCCCTCAAGGCTGTTTCCATGCTTCGACTCCGGTTGTGCCCTTCGCCAACAACCACAATAGCTTGGTGAGCCCCCTTCAACATCGGCAAGTCTAACACGCTATCCCCAAACACACAGGTGTAGATGTGATATTCATGTCTCAAACGATGGACAAGTGCACCCTTCACTAGGTCAGTGACGACAAGATCCCCAATACGCCCCCCACCAATGACCTTGACACTACCAGAAAGGCCCGCATTTCTAAGAGCCTTTTCCCAGACCATGCGTAGCCCACAGGTGATCACTACCAGCCCAATACCTCGTTTCTCTGCTTTCTTCATCGTCGTCACAAACTCGGGATGAATAGTCACCATCGAAGCCACCTGTTCGCAAATTCCGTCGAAGGCTTCCGTAGGGACTGCTCCGTAAAGAAGCGCAGTCTGATGAAAGGCCGCGTACGAGTAACCGAATTTGGGGCTGCTGAACAGCGCCTTCAAAGGACAAGTGACAGCTTCCTTGTTCTTAGCATCGACGAGCATCCTGTCGGTCGAGGCTAGCTTCCAGAATATAGTACCTGTGTCTTCAGCAATCAGCGTTCGATCTCCGTCCATAACAATCATCGCTGCTGGATTGATCATTTCGCGGATGACATCGTCGAGTTCGGCTCCAGCACAAGAGAGGTTGAAAGCCTCGCTACGTTGTTGGAAATCAGATACGATGAAGGAGACTTCCGAGGGAGCCACGACCGAGAACAAAATTCCATGCTGTAGACAGAGAAGGCGTAATTGCGCCCGCTCGGTCTCCTGCCATCGACAAAGATGTCCTTCCGACACAGAAGGACGATGTCGCTCAGGGTCATTCTGTCGGCGCAATGCGATGACATTGGCGGGTATATCGAGGTAGAGAATATGAGTGAACGTCGCTGCATCCCGATCAGTCCATACCAACTCTCCACTCTCGTCCTTTTCATCCCAAAAGAGGTAATGGCCTGCGAGAACGGCGACACGGCCGCTCAAGGAGCTATCATGCCCAATCTTGTCAATCGCACGCTCGCGCCAAATTTCTTTTTCTCCACCTCCCATTTTTCGGAATGCATCAAGGCCTCCAGGGACTAGAGATGAAATCACACCGGAGCCTTCATAGAACGTGAAATTTTCCTGTCCAAGTTTTGTTTTTAACTGGTCGAGCAAAAAACTCTTACCACAGCCAGGGACTCCATACAAACCGACGACGATGGGCTTGTCGGTAGTAGGTTGAGTGTTAGTAGCAGAAGAGGGTGAGTTGTTTTGGAGGGGCGCCATGTTGTCATTCGATACGAGCTGAAGCTGTTTTTGTATCTCGCCCAAGCTTACCCAAGCTCAAAAATGGAAGTAGGATTGCTGTCGCGAGACGACTACGCATGCTAGGCGCGCGCAGTAGCTATCCAGCATCTCCCGGGCTACGGACGAGCTTCTATGAGTCTAGTTAGCGCTGAAGATGGGACAAGGTTCAATACTTACTTTCATCTATTCCGATATATGGAATACCTGATAAAGTTCACCCAAGGACTTTTTAAGGGCTTCAGAGTTTTGGTCAGAATGTTAAAAAAAAGCCATACCACCAGCTGCGTGCGCAGGAGAAATCAGACGACAAGAATGTTCTGGGACCTCTGTGAACGCCAAGTGAAGATGCTAAATGAAGTTGCCTGAAAACTGCGTATCGAGGTGCATGATGTGTACTCTAAAAAAAGGAGGAAGAGCATTCACTGAGGATCCCGCATTAGATTTTTCGAAATCTTCTAGTCCAGAAGCAACTCGGGGCGTTTATCGCGATGATTAACGCTCAACTGGCACACCCAGCAAGCCTGTGTTCATTTTTTAGGTTAGGCTATCAATTGTGGCTAGTTCTAGGTAGGAGACAGAGGCCGGAATCAGGAAAAGGTATGCTTGAAGTTCAAGCGATCTTGGGGATAGGTTTCTAGTACTTGGATGGGAGGGATGAGGGATGATGATTGGGTTTGATATTAGGCGCCATGGAGCAGAATCTGAGCGGTAACAGTGAGCGATTGAAGTCTAAATGCATACATACGTACGTACCTGTTATCCGGAAGCCTCAAAAGCCTAATCCCTGGGCATTTCTTGTTGCTCGGCTCTCCAGAATGTCGCTGTAAGCGCTGGTAGAATTTATGTATCATATGGACGTGTGGCCTTTGGACGCGTTTGTTTCCAAATCAAACACTGGTAGCGATTCCTACTAGAGAGCTGACCCATACTTTCCCATACTTTTTTTCCAACTGTGCCTACGGAAGGAGAGGCCACACCCACCTCAGTCTCCGTCCAACCTGCTTAAACTTCTCCGGGTCAATCTGATGTCGCAACGCAACCTCCTGAAGCTTGCTATCTTTAGCAGGGTTCACGACCTCGCGTACATCATTATATCTCGGAGCCCTGCAAAGTTTCGCAGCTGCCTGGTAGAACCCCCAACGCAGAGTATATTTTCCGAGCATGTACGCGTATACTGGAAGATGTCTAGAGGCAACAAAGGGAGGTGTTTTTTTGACAGCAAAGCCGTCGTAGTTGGCTCGAATGATGGCGAAGAACACGTCGGAGGTTTCGCTAAGTTTTTGGAGGGTCGTTTTGGCGGTGCGTCGTTCGTGGAGCTCTTCACGGACACGGTCTCGGTACCAGGAGGGCGGAGATTGTCGTTGGAGGCCTAGCATCCTGTGCCAGCGTCTGAGAAACGCGTCGAGATGGCGGGGCATTTGAACGGAAGTATTAGAAAGCAGTATCAGAAAGCAGTATCAGAGCGAAAAAGTCGATAAAGATTATGAATAATTAGATTCGTTGTTGGAGTACACCGTTCCTACAAACTATGAGTATCACAGTCAAAACAGCATACACATTAGAGACGAATGAAAAAGTACCCTTTGTAGCCGTACCAGAACAACTTTAACAGCAAATAAGCGCCGCTCTCACACGATAGCTGAATAAGCTCCAAGTGTACAAAAAATTGAAGTAGAAAAGGTAGTAACCCTGGAAGCATAGCCCATCGCGAGGGTCTAACTCGCAGCCTTCAGATCCGCGAACTCTGTAACCAGGACCATAATAAGAGTCTGACGCTCTATCCGATTGAGCTAGGCGGGCGATATCTACCACCGAAAAACGCGAAATCGATAGAGATATGAGAGTCAAGATTTGGCCTTGGGCCGGGGACGAGTTCTACGAACTATGAGTGTTACAGTCAAAACAGCATACATATTAGAGATGAATCAAAAGTTACCTTTGTAGCCGTACCAGAACAACTTTAACAGTAAATAAGCGCCGCTCACACAGCGGCACGATGATAATACAATACCTGGATACCTAAATATCTGGGTTGGCTCTTGTGTAGTAGACTGTAGTGCATTTCAATTCTTGAACAGGTTTATCGTTAGGCCTGAGGCAGCCCCTCTACGAGGTTGACAGTGTAAGTGAGAAACCTCGTTAGCATTTGAAACTGAAACAAAAAAATCAAACAACCATGGAGCCATTTCAATAGCCCACCGCGAGGGTCAAACTCGCAGCCTTCAGATTTCACTTGCCCTCATATACTTAACATAAGAGTCTGATGCTCTATCCGATTGAGCTAGGCGGGCAATATTTACAGGGGAAGAACGCGTTTGAAGACACTATCATACATACAAACACGATCACATTTTCTCATTAGTAGAGAAAAAATGAAGAAAGAGCATGCTGTTGTGAGCCCACCGCGAGGGTCGAACTCGCAGCCTTCAGATGTGCCTGCAGGCGCCCGAACCTCTTCACACATAAGAGTCTGACGCTCTATCCATCCACCATCACCGATTAGGCGCCCGAAAATTTCTATCGCGCTCATCGCCGCAACTTCGTACTTCGACAACGTTAACGCTTTCTTTCTTCATTCTTCACTCTTCACGCGCACGCTCTACAAAAGTCTCAGCCGCTGCCCGACTTCCACCACCAATCGCTACCTGAGACATTCTGAGACATACCATCTCTAACCACAGAATGGCAAAGTCCATCGAAGAACTCATTGAGGACACGGTCAGACTGAGTAGGATCCAGGACCAATATGTGCCATATGCACAACAACCCCAGGCCAGCACCTCAGCTGTAACACTGGAAAGCCGTCCTTCACCTACTCCTCTTCCCGCTCCTACTTCCTCAGCAAACCGATCCCTCGCTAGACAATCTGCCACATCCTTTACACATCTTCTCGACGACGACAATCCCTCGGAACCGCGCCGCAGCCCTTCCCCGAGTAACGCTGGCAGCATTACTACGTTGACCCCTTCCGGGAAAGCCTCGAAAAAGGCTATCTCCGCTAAGGGAAAAGCCTCGAAGGTCACGCCGTCGAAGACTGTCTCTCCCCAGTCTTCATTAAATCTGCCTACGTTGCACTACCCTGCAGAATCCAGGCTCATCCCGAACACCTCGGGAACGAAGGAATCTGCTGCAACCACCAGATATTGCTTGGACAGCAATGACTTACGCCTCGAAGGGATGATTTGTACAGAGTCATCCACGGCGAGCAATCTCATTCGAAACCTCAACAACAGTCTTCACCAACATGACGAGACCTACGACCACGCACAACAATCTCTGGGACAGGACGTGACCGCTCTCCGCACTGACGTCAACGACCTACAGACACGGGTCCACGACATTGAGAGCTCACAACCTCCCTACGACGCCATCCTTCAGCGACTGGATCAACTGGAACAACAGCCTCCCGGTCCTAGTGGACAACTACTCTCGTATACACGCGCCAGCTCCCCTGGCTCGTCATCTCCCCCTACCACACACAACACACCTGACCGCCCACTGTGGGGTACTTCAGACATCTTCAGCAATCCACGAAACCCCGACTCCGACTTCGACTCTCCCTGTCATGGGTCCCAGAGGCAACCTTCGGCCTCACCTCAGGATCGTTCTCCCTCGCCGTCGCTGCACATGGCCTCGGACACCCCACCTTCCATTGCGCCTCAAAATCCCGTGCCTCTCCGAAACCGTATATCTCGCCGACCCGCATCCCCGTCATTTATGGAACCAACATCAAAACGTCGAAGAACTGGCACACCTTCTTCCACGCCCTCTACCAATCACAACACATTCCCGGGATCGACAGTTTGTATCTCCACCGAAACTTGGAAATTCCGCGGGAAAGGTAGAGCTCTCTGTGCCTTCTTCCACACCTGGTTTGACCTGTTGGATAACGCAGCCACGCCATTGACATTCCCCTACCGTATTCGACACACTGGGCCCGCCAGACGCCAGGTGCGTCTGTTCTTTACTAACGCCTCTCAGGCGTTAGCATTCGTTAACGCTTGGGATAGCCACCGGTCCCGGATTGTCAACAACGCTGCATTCAACGTCTCCTACCAGTCACCCTCCGAATGACGGTTAGCAGTGGGGAAGTCTTTGATTGATTGCGCTCCCTCGCCGCACCATAGTATTTCTCCTAATTGTATTAGTACTACGGGTAATTTGAACATTCTTAGCTTCAATTTGGGGGGCCGTCTTCAATCTAACCTTCTCCACTCTGAGTTCTGCAAGTTACTGGACAACGTTCACATTGCATGTATCCAGGAAACTGACTTATATCCTGATGAGGTATGGCACGCCCCAGATAATTTTTCTGTTTTTTCTCAAGCTCGACCGACGGAATACTTTGACGATCCCTCTGGTGGGGTCGCTACCTTTGTCCGCTCGGACCTACATGCAACGTTACACGAGGACCTCTGTGGGCCCGACATTGTGACAGTCGAAGTGGAAGGTATTCTCTTCATTAACGCATACCTTCTTCCTTCAATCTCCAAGTTTGACTGGTCCCGGTGGACTGATACATCCCCATGGGACGCCTTCAGAGAGATCTGCACACTCGCCGCTAACCTTGACAAACCTTTTTTCATTCTAGGAGACCTTAACGCCCGCACCGGCTCCCTTCGGCCAAATGCCGCACACCCATCTCTGACTTCACCCAATACTCACACCTTCTGACTCTATGCGACGACCTCAACTTAACCATTCTCAATGGTTCAGAGCACATCCCGGGCACCCACTCTTGCTGGACCTCGTTTCAAAAATGGGATGGGATATACAACACCTCGGTCATTGACTATGGCATCTGCTCAGCCTATAGCTCCTCTAACATTGCCTCCTTTGATATCTCAGATAGAACGAGGTGGTCTGACCATGCGTTCCTATCTTTGCAGATCCTTTCACCACGCTCCACTCTCCCTCCTCCTCCATCTATGAAACGGAAGCGTCCCGAATTCACTTTACCATTGGTAACGCACCTTGACCACCTTCTCGACGACGTTCTACATACCTCCCCTCCCGAGGCCAGTGACGAACTAGGGAAACTATACGGTTTCAGTAACCTCGACCCCGCTTATGCTGGAACACATGGTCTGAAGGTTTACGCTGATGGGTCGGCTACCAATAATGGACAACTAGGTGCTACAGCGGGCGCAGGGATTTACGCGGGCCCCGCTCACCCCTTCAACACCACTGCACGGGTGACAGGAACACCTTCCAACAACCGGGCAGAACTTTACTCAATATTACTGACCATACAAAAGACCCCACTACATCGCGTACTGGACATCTTCACAGACTCCACGTACGTGATACACTCCCTTGTACATTGGTCTATCCGCAATGCTAAATGTGGATGGGTTTGCGTCAACGGTGACCTTCTCAGACTGATCGCAAGCTGGATCGCGGCACGCTCAGCTCCTATCCACTTCCATCATGTTAAAGGTCACTCTGGTAATAAACACAACGATGCCGCAGATGCCTTGGCAAAACACGGCGCAGGACTGCCCCTACCCATCCCCTTTTCTCCTACAGACTACTACCATGTGCCCGCTCCTATCCCTTTTACGGTCCCGCTAGGATATCCAAAGGTCTATACAGATCTCCCTGAAGACCCAGCTCCCTGCAAACCACACCCATCTCGCCAACGTTCCTTCCACCGCAACCACCGACACAGGTCATTCAAGCGACAACTTCAGGATGGGATCCTGCACCGCCTCATCGAATGCTCTTCCGATTCGGGTGCATTCTGGAGACTTTACAAGCGCCTTCGCTACCCAGGCAATGCTCCTACTCTAGTGTCTTTGTCGAACCTCACCGAGTGCTTCATTCCACGAATGAACCCGCCTAAGAACGTCCCTCAGCCGTTACAAGATCGCCTGACTTGTGAGTGCAACTTGTGCGAGCGCATTAAAGTGTCAAAGCCCTCCATCTTCCCGACACTCAACGAACGGCTCACATTACATGATATTGAGCGGGCCAAAGCTCACCTCATGCGGTCAAAGCCCTCGCGCGCCACGGGGGTTGATGGTTCCTCTTATTCTTGGATACTTGACCTTGATAACCAAATCCTATGCAATCTTCTTAACGCCTGTGTCGACGCCGGTGAAGTCCCTTCTGCTTGGCTGACCACACTTATTGAAGCCATCCGCAAGCGAGGTAGACGCGACTTCACTAATCCAAGTGAATACCGTGCTGTAGGACTTGAGAGCTGCATCTTGAAGCTCTTGACACTCATTATTCATATGAAGCTCTCCGATGCAGCCGAACAGGCTGGCATCATTCCTCCCTCCCAGAATGGTTTCCGGGAACACCACAGAACAAACAATAACGTGTTCATCCTACGGACACTAATAGATGATACAAGGTCGAGAGGTGAGACTCTATATGTTGCCTTCGTTGACATTTCAAACGCGTTTCCATCAACAAACCAACATCGCCTCTGGAATAAACTATATGACTATGGACTGACTGGCCGCTACTTTGATTGGCTCAGAACTTTGTATGACCATATGTCATATACGATTCTCCAGAATGGCGAACTTTCCGAGTGCTTTCACGCCCTATGCGGCGTCCTAATGGGCAATCCAGCTTCTCCAACACTCTGGAATTTATTTCTCTCATCTCTTCACCTCACTCCCGATCCAGATGACGCCGATCTCTGTGGAATTACTATTTCTCACTTGGAACATGCAGACAACATTGCAATTATCTCGCGAACACCTCATGGCCTCCAAAGACACCTTCACAAGCTCGAATCCTGGTGTGACGACAATTTCCTTTCACTCGATGTGAAAAAATCTGTGTTTATGATTTTTGGTCCTTTGCCCAACCCGCTTCCCCGTCTCACACTCTCCAACTGCCCTCTTCAACTAAAACAATCCTGGCCTTACGTCGGCGTCTGGCTACAATCCTCTTCACGCGACATCTTTGCAACACATTATAGAAAGAAGTCTGAAGCCGCCGTCGCTTCCGCCAGAAGTGTTTTTGGATGCAAACGGTTAGTTGGCAGGTCACGGATCCCTCCTCATGTCGCTCTGCTCCTTTACTTTTCTCTCATTGATTGCCACCTCACTCATGGCTGCGACGTCGCCGTCGACGTGGATTCATCAGTAATGAACCCTTTATTTGACATTCAAACGCGGTGTCTTCGTCGCATCCTTGGTCTTCCTCATCACTCCACCATCTCTCCTCTCTTCACCGAACTTGGTCTTTTGCCTCTCCGGACCCGCCGATTGGAACTTTGTCTCAAATTCCTTTCTTATCTTGTTTCGGCACCGGACAATAGCCTCATTGC